ACGTTCCTTGTTCTTTTCAGACTGTGAATAGTGCTTCTAAAGTCAACTGCTGCACAATATTCTATAACGATCTCACACAAAGTCGTGTTTTATTTTTTCCCAGAAAGCTATGAGCATTCTTTGTTCATCTGATTTAAAAAACAAGTTCCTCATTCAGTATACTTTAAATTATGGGAAACTAAATATCTGAAAGGTTTCTGCTCAGTAGACGGACTGTAAAAGGCGACTAAATAACCAATCAGTTGAGTCCAAATTATCATTTAACTGTATTTTTGTACTCTAAAATATCCTACCTTTTGCATGTGTTAAACAAACTGAAAATTATCACAGATGTAAATTAACTAAGCGACATTTGGTTGGTAGGCCAAAGAGATTTGAGGAGAAATGGATTTTATTCTATGCGTCTAAATATTTTAAATAAGGCGGATACACAATACCGATTTTTTGTGACTGTACACATATAGTTTTGGTTAACAGATTAGTGATAATAAGAAGTTGAATCAAGATGACAATGACGCTCAGAACCAAACAGATCCAACTGGAGCTCGGCAGTCATAAAACGGAGAATGGAGTCACGCTGAATGCGCGTGAAAATCTCAACTACTCATTAATTCCTGAGCTCAAGCTTGAAAATTTGCCCATTCCCCACTTCAGAAAACGAAGTAATTCCACGAGCCTATTCTGCTGCTGTTTTTAAAAAAATAGTCTTATCGAAACTTCACACTGTTTTTACACTGAAACGTTCCTGAAACCTCTATCAAACAAAGTTGCGTAATCTATGAACCACTGTTATTTTGGCTGAATTTCAGATTTTATTTGCTAGGAGGGTTCACACCTCTTTCATGTCAGTGTACCTCTCTATGTGTAATTTTAGGTTTGACAAGGCTGAAAAGACTGACAGATTATGGACTCAGAAGTGACTTTTTAAAGTACAGCAATACTTCAATCCCATAGACAGGGACAGTTGGCGAAGGCTCTGTTCAATTACAGGAAAATCCTTCCAAGGCCTACTATTTTTCTTAACTAGGATAATTTCACCATAATAAAAATACCTCATAATGCGGTTAAAGTTGGAAGTTTTAGATATAAAAATATGTTCTCCTAGAAAAATGTACTCAAGGCAGTATATTTGAAATCCTTAGTCATCATCTTACTCTATGACTTCAGAAATATCTAGCCTATACTTCCAGAAGCTTAAAATATAAGGATTCAGAATTGAATTTGGTTTAACCTGATATAGTAGTAAATTGGTTTATCGTGTTCAGTGGCTTTTACAGGTCGCATTTGCCCCTCCATAATAATTGGTGAAACGGTGGACTCTAAGCCTAATATTCACTCTAAGTTCTCGAACATTCTGCCTACAGTCGCTCAAAATTTCACTATGTGAATTCACGAAATTATGGGGAATGCAAAAGAACAAGTTATATTTTCAGCCATTTGCCATATTGTTACCATTCCAAACAGGTCACATGATCACATGGGCTCACCTGCGCCCTTTCCGCAGGGTATATTTTATCCAGGGTGTTGTCGGAAGGATAGCGCTTCTGCGTCGGAGTACTGTTGCCGTAAAGACTTTGAAGCCGTCGGAAACTGGGTCCTGAAGTATAATGTAGGCAATTATAATACTTCACGGTAGTAATTTATTCTTTGTGTTTTTTACTTTCCAAGGCAGTTCATACAAAAAATTTAATTAAATCCTTCCGAAAAAAATCTCGTGAATCTAGGTGCGGAAGTTGGTGTAAATATTTGGGTCGAAATCCACAAAATTCTGCGGTATTTCTACGTAATATTCACAAACTGCCAATAGACAATCAATGGTACACAAATGTGTAATTATATACTATAGTGACAGCAGAGGTACAGGCTAGATGTGTTTCGTACATCTCTTCTCACTTTATGACGCAACTAAACGACGTTTGGCTCATCAGTGGGTCCCCATTTTTCCACGTGTTTTTTCGTAATGGTAACTTTAGTTTTCCTCGTTTCATCTTACATCTTCCACAAATATTTTCATAGTAAAACAAATGTACTTTTGCAACACATAGCGAAGCTAATGTGTTGTTCAAATGGACTCTTAATAAACATATCTAAATCGATGGTTTTTCAAATCGATTTTCGAGTATTGCGATATAAGTGCAGAGAAAGGAGTTTATTTCCGCTATTATCAGGTTATAATGAACGATACTTGCAGGTATGTAACTAATTTTTTGAACGTGATATTCAGAAGGCGTAAGTATTTGACATGAAAATGCCTAAAGCGGCTTCACTGATGGGTGGGAATAATCTGACTCAAGGCAGACCTTTGCCCCTAATCTACAAGGACTACTTTTCAGGTAGCCAATTTTGTTTTTTTAGATTTTATATTTTATTTTTTAAAATCTTAATGTAATCCTCAATTAGTACAATATTCATAACAATATTCATAGCGAAAACATTCGCTTAAAACAGCATTAAACAGTACTCCAATCCTCTAAGCATTTGGATTTTACGTGCAAAATAATCTGTGAAGGGGCAGTAGTAATGAAAGCGAGTGCTGAAGAAACTTCAGATTAAGCACCGAACATGCAAGCTCAATTTCAAATTCTGGAGTGTCCAGTTAGACGTCATACGGTGAATTCAATATGCGTGACCTCTATCGAATCAGAAACGTTTTCGTTAGGTTTAGCCGACACATAGCATAATAGAGCACAGTCTCTTTAAAATGGCTTTGCAACTCCAGTGCCGTTGTCCTGGGAGTCGCAACAGTTGGAGATATCAGAGTGTTTGAGGGATGTAAAAACAAGAGGCGGTTGTGAAACTCCCAGATTTACCTACTGTGACTTAATATTACATAACCCGAGTTACTTGGGTAGAAATTTAACCTGATCGGATGAGCTACTGCCAGTTGGGTCATGAATGCAAGGTTGCAGTGAAATAGTAAGAACATTAGAAAGCGGGATCAGAGATCTTGGGGAGGGATATTCAGAGTTGCAAAGAGGACAACCTAGTTTAGACGCATTATCGGGGCAAAGGTTTGAACATTTGCATGTCATAATAATCGTTAGCCGCCATCAAATTCTCCCTCTCCTTCGTCGTTTCGGGTGTCCGCTTAGAAAAAAAACATGATTTTGCCATCCCACCAACAAACTGGTGAAAAGCAGTGGAATCAGCAGAAAGAGAAAAAATCGATGAATACGAAGAAATTGTACAGGAAAAATCATAAGCTAGCTTCTTGATAGCGATTGAGGTGGTGGCCGGCCCATGGGTCAGAGCTGGAGCGTTGGACTTATGTAAGTTAATCAGCTGCCATTAGTTAGTTGAGTAAACCAGAAGTGGCCTTCCCATGGTAATTTTTATTTGTTTGTAGCCTCTCTTCTGCAAACAAAATTCTATTTTACTAGAAAAATAGGCTCTTACGATAGACAAAGGATCAAACTCGTCAAAACACTAGACATTAAAGTATATTTGGTGTCATCTTCTTACGTGGGTTCCGGATTTTAAGTAGGCTTCAAAAAATGTCTTTGAGACTGACCATACAGATAATCAGCCCAACTTGCAAAACCGGAAAAATCTCAGACGCTGTAAAAGGAAAACGACCGCAAAATTATCTTGGAAAATCTACTGAGATAGCATAGAAAAGATGATCCGTCAGTTGGAAGCGATAGTATTCATTTTAATGTAAAATTGTAAATAAAACCTGTATATACATACAATGGAGTCCATATCTCATGAAATGTTGACCGAAATTCCGAAGTGTGTTTTAAGCTCGAACAAATTACTAAGGTGGAAATGTACAGCCTAATCTCAAAGTTCCGGCTTTTGGACGAAGTTATTTCTGAAAATCTGCCAAAAGAATACTCTGTATAAGTGGCTATAAAGAAGCATGAATTTTCTCATTGAATTTCCATGCTCTTAAAAATTAAAATATAAGTTATAGAAGACAGGCAGAACAGATTCTTTATTATAATCATTGGGGACCAAATTACTTCATATTAAAGTGCTATATTTAAAAGAAAAGTATGTTTTTAAACTAAAGAACCATTTTGAAACCTACCGGCCTTTGCACTTGAATTGGAAGTTTGTAAACTACATTCTGTATACCTTCGGTCTTAGGAAATTGACTTTTCTATGCTATGCGGAAGAGGCAGCATAGTTCTCATAGTATTTGCCAAGGGATGTGGTTCATGGTGTATCTTTTACAGGCAGCGATAATCACCTGAGGGATACGATGTATTATGAGTGAACATAAGAGAGTCTTTATAAATCTCATAACGATAGACATTTTTTAAAACAAAAACTACATTTCTTTAATCAATTAATTGTAAGTGGGCGTAATTTTGCACTCAATCAGCAAAAGAAAGAACAACTTTAGTTTGTGTTTTATATAAACAGGTTAGTTTTTAAAAGTATTGAAAACCAGTGAAAAAATGCATACTATTTTAGTAGACATTTCTGTGAAATATGCGTTTAACATGCGGTGTAAAAGAATCTTTTTTTTCAAAAGCCGGCGTTATTGGGCGTCTGTACTATCTTGATATTAGGCTGCACGATAATCAATATTACGACCCTATTGAAGTAATTTGATGGAATCGAAGCTAAATTTCTATTCATAAGATAGGGAATCCAATGTCCAGTAAGTAAGACTAGAAACAAATTCGAAAATAGCCATCGTAGTTTGCAAATATAATACGCCAAAACAAACGAAAATGCAAGTCTCAGGAAGTAATTAAGAAGAATTAGAAGTAATCTCTGGGATTACTATTTTATTGGCCTAGCTTTCCGAGGCGTATTTCGAAACGATAGGCAAATAAAATCCTAGTCCTTAGCGATCACATCTACTTCTTCTCACTACCACACGAAATTTATCACCCTCCTCTTGTAAAATCTGGTAAAATTGCAGACCTAACTATGAGCAGCGTTGATGGATTATAAAATTGAATCGCTTCAGTAAAAATCTAATAAAAGCACTATGAAACGAACGTAATTTACGGTCTCCACCAACCTGATATTTAAAGTTAAAAACCCGAAGAAAGTAATCCAGTACAGTGCGCGCCTATACGGCTTCCTGATAGTACCTATAGAACATTCGTTCGCTGCGGTCAATGCTTTACAAGTAGTGCAGTGCTGGTAAACAAGCGGACTCGCTAAAGCAGGCACGGAAATTGCACGTCCATACCAGTTGCCGAGATCTACTTTTTTTGTCCTAGAAAGGGTGAAACGGCCCCATGACAACAAGCGGACCAGTAGTTGCCACGAGCAATATCGGTTCTAGCCCCTCCGGACATGGAGGATACACTTCGGAAAAGATGTCGTCGGTTGTTTACTGTCACGTTTGATTTTTCGCAGGCCTTCGTCGCTGCTCATTCAGCTGGTGGGAGGTAGGACAATACGCACACTTACCTGAGGTGAGAAACTAAAACCAGAAGTTTGGGTCTAAGGCTTATTTACGATTGTGTTAATAGTTCGAACTTTCTGGTGCCGTCAGACAGAGTGCTTACTGTACATGTTAGTAAGTATACCACTAATCCCCTCGCAGGGTGAAGTCTCTAACAACTTAACTGACAGGCTGAGGTAGTTGAGGAACGCTGTTACGCAGGCTTTGCTTTCCACCTTGCCTAGGTGACGCCATTACGAGCTGCTTTATAAAACATCCTCTGTTGTCCAGTTAATTGGTTTGTGGGTCTTGAGTAGAGTTCGCCTGTCGACTTGTTATATGCCTTTCCACATTGGCAACGCAGGTTTAAACTAGAAATCCAGACCCATGTTTTGTCAATATCCTACCGCTTCTCGGCAATGGGTTCCCCAGCGTTCTCCATGTGATTTCGACCAGATAGGCCAGGTTCCCGGCGTGATAAATCATATAACCCCTATATGCTACTGACTGCGTGTTGGCAGTTTATAAATATTACGTGGTTATTCGGCTGTATTCGATTTATCTTGGTTCTAGTATTTATATCAACCACCCGACTCACTTTGTAGAGGTCAAGTGAAATTTGCTGAGTTTTTTTTGAACTCCGTAGTAGTTGCATAGTAGCTGCCAAAATTTCAATTATTTTTTAGTGAATAGGAGTAGGTCCAAGTACCACATATGAAATGCGATTATTTTCGCCATAGTCGGCCTGGGATTAACATCAAAATTATCCAAAGATGTATGTAGGGAATTTTGGGATTCGAAGTTTAATAATGCTCCATGCATAAAATAATTGCCAAGGAAAACACGAATGGTCGTTTCTTGCCAATACAATAATATTTCAGCGATTGTCACCAAGGATTAAACAGTTAACTTCCTGTATTTTTTAAGTGAGGGGATGGGCCGCACTTGGCTCTACTTATATGGTTCATCATGCAACGTATTTATTAAGCAACCGAAGATATTCAACAAAGAGTTGTGATTGACTGGGATGGAAAAAGGTACTGTAATTTAAAGAAAAAATCACAAGTTACCCCACCAGTAATGGGTGAATTTATGTACAAACCATAGATATCGTTATATAGCTATCATTCGAAGTTAACTTTTCGGAAGCTGCATTATTGATTCCTCATGACTTTGCTCCACTCCGCCCTACTTTGCATTCCTGACGTTGGAGGACAATGACCTCGTTTTTTTCTTATTTTTACGCATGAAAATGAATACAAGAGCATTACAGGGGAAGAATTTACATGCAAACTTTGGGCCCCACATCTTGCGAACATTTTCATTAATATCTCCATAGTTGAGGGTGCTCTGAGCAGCTATTTTCAAAGATACTCATTATTAAGCCCCTCACGATCAATAAGCTGACGTTTGTATTTTAGGATCTATAAGGCGATCGATTTTACGTGTCCGTTTTCGGTGTAGTAAAAAAAGCCGTCGAAGTTTAGGCAGCAAGTACCTCTTTTTTAGAGCTGACATGAAGGGGCCCAGCTGATACTGAATCAGTCACTCGCATTAATTTTTTTTATTCTATGGGATTTTCTGCGCGGAATCTTGATGCATGAATGCCAATATTAATGATCAGCAGCACAAAACAGGAGTTTATTCTCGCCTTTCGGGAAATTTTGGTTCTGAGAGAGAGCCTTTATTGCGAATTAATGTTATTTGTTTTACCAAACTTCATGGCCTTCTGTTTTGTTCAACCTTACCTGTCAAGGTACCGGGGAGTTTTTATCGAAAGCAAGACATCGAGTTTCGGCACCGTGTCTTATTTTAAACTTTCTTCCCACTCATCGCTTGTGTTCGTCAAGAGAAAACGTGGCAGGACGTTGGAGCGGCAAGAGAATGGCTCATTTTCCAAAACCCTGTCCGGATGGGAAATGAACATGCCCTCCGGCGTTTGCAG